ACAGAAAGAGGGGGGGGGTAAAAACAGGAAGGGGGGGGGGGGGTAAAAACAGAAAGAGGGGGGGTAAAAACAGGAAGAGGGGGGGGTAAAAACAGAAAGGGGTGGGGCGGTAAAAACAGAAAGAGGGGGGGTAAAAACAGAAAGAGGGGGGGGGGGGGGTAAAAACAGAAAGAGGGGGGGGGGGTAAAAACAGAAAGAGGGGGGGGTAAAAACAGAAAGAGGTGGGGGGTAAAAACAGAAAGAGGGGGGTAAAAACAGAAAGAGGGGGGGGGGGGGGGGGTAAAAACGGAAAGACTTTTAGTTAGCGTCAAATCATCGGCTGCTGAAACATTTCTGAAAACTGATATTCACCGATATCAATCAATCAAAGATCAAATTGAATCTCGACTACTTTTCATGATGGGATGATCAAATTGAGCCGGCAAAGTTTCCCTTTGTACTTTCACCCTTAGTACAAACATTTCAATAATTTCATTTTTGTTAAGCTAGTGCACTCATTTTCATGATGCCAGTTAGCGCTGCACCACATAGCTTTAAGAATTTGTGAAGCAAAACGGATCGATTCCAGTAAATATCATCAAAACTGAGATTTAGCTTACAAATTTGTGGGTTGCCAAAGGACTAAAAGCGTTCAACTATTCCCTCACCACATCTTTACTGTCTAGAGTTTCTGATATCACCTTTTTTCAAACTTTCATCTCGACTCAAATCATTACTGTCACGGGGTCCGGACTCTACTGTCACATATAACCCACTTCCTCTACCTTGACACTACTACTATACTATACTATAATATCTTGTTACCAGGACATGTTACCAGGACACCATAATCTCTTGTTACCAGGACAACAGACACATATTACCAGGACACTATAATCTCTTGTAACCAGGACACAGACCCATGTTACCAGGACACCATAATCTCTTGTTACCAGGACAACAGACCCATGTTACCAGGACACTATAATCTCTTGTTACCAGGACACTATAATCTCTTGTTACCAGGACAACAGTCCCATGTTACCAGGGCACTATAATCTCTTGTTACCAGGACAACAGACCCATGTTACCAGGACACTATAATCTCTTGTTACCAGGACAACAGTCCCATGTTACCAGGACACAATAATCTCTTGATAGCAGGACAACAGACCCATGTTACCAGGGCACTATAATCTCTTGTTACCAGGACAACAGACCCATGTTACCAGGACACTATAATCTCTTGTTACCAGGACAACAGTCCCATGTTACCAGGGCACTATAATCTCTTGTTACCAGGACAACAGACCCATGTTACCAGGACACTATAATCTCTTGTTACCAGGACACTATAATCTCTTGTTACCAGGACAACAGACCCATGATTTGATTTGAAACTTTTACAAAATAGCAAATATACAAATGTACAGCAAATCGAACAAACATATAAAATGGGCCGAAATGTATAAATGCTATAAAGCGTGGGTCAGTGAAACAAGTACAGAGGACAACTTTTAAAACACGAGGTTTATGGCCGCCCAAAGTCTCAATAACGTCACCTCCACCTAGTAATAAAATTATGAAATATGAAGTGTGAAACAAATTATGAAATATGAAGTGTGAAACAATCAAGAAATAGCTCGTATATAAATTATAAAATTGTCTCTCAAATACAGATAACGTCCCTAAACTATTAAGATACACAATACTCATTCAAATACTGACCAGTGTCCGAGAGACATGAATTGCTTCATGGTGGTTTCTTATCACGGCTACAGACTTTCCCGTACCGGATATAGTGGTCGAGATGAGTCTGTTCAGCCCTCTTCTTCTTCAGGTCGGTAACCAGATGTTTCCTCGGCCTCGTTGCTCGTTCTTCGCTAGATCTATCTGGACAGATCCATACATTTTTGTGGGTCTCAACTAGCCTCAGTCTTCCTGTTTTCATCAAAATCTGTTGAACCGCTGTTGAGCTTGGGACAGTGATCTTTACTGGTCGGATAGTCGTACTACCTGGCCTCTTCCTGCCGACTCTAGTCGCTTCGAAGTGAGGTTTGTCCCCAATCTCCTCCAGAACTGCGGTTACTAGCGCTGGAAGCTGTTCTCCCTCTTCTTCTTTCAACCCAAACACAATCAGGTTCTTGCTCCTGTCCTCCTCTGCAGCCACACTCTTCATCACCTTCTTCAGGATGTTACTGTTGCAGACCGTACCACTTGCACTGTTCTGTTGTACAGCTGCACTGTAGCTCTTAATCCCTGACTCCACCGTTGTTTGCACTGTCTCCTTAACCGACGTCTTAAACAACTGTAGTTCTTTGTCCTTCTTCATATTACCCGGACACTATAATCACTTGTTACCAGGACAACAGACGTGCTGGTGTGTAAAAGAAGAAGGGGAGCTGATCACAGAGAGTATAGACCCGACCAGGGAACTAACTACGGAACAGTGCCTTCTCTACAGAGGAGCTATGTTAGAGGACGATAATGAAATTGAAGGTTCATTTGTTTTTACTTGTAAAGGGGTACTCCGTACTCTCCTAGTCGTGGCGTGCACTGCATAGTAATTCCTTGTTCCGACGTATTAATAAGACCCCTCCCCTTTTTATAATCAACATTATTTTAGGAACATATGTTAGCATGAAAATAAAGGTATACTAAAACATAAACCCATGACTCCCTCCAGGGGAAGCATTGTGCGTGGTAAAAGCACGTGTTTACGACCTGGGAGAGCAGTTTAGAGAGGGCTGCAATATCTGCACGTGCAGGGGACGGAACAAGATTAACTGTAGTCCTACCACCGAGTGTCAGCAGGGTAAGAAGTGTTAGTAACACTGTAAGAAGTGTTAGTAACAGTGTCCGTAACACTTTAAGAAGTGTTAGTAACAGTGTCAGTAACACTGTAAGAAGTGTTAGTAACAGTGTCAGTAACACTGTAAGAAGTGTTAGTAACAGTGTCAGTAACACTGTAAGAAGTGTTAGTAACAGTGTCAGTAACACTGTAAGAAGTGTTAGTAACAGTGTCAGTAACACTGTAAGAAGTGTTAGTAACTGTGTCAGTAACACTGTAAGAAGTGTTAGTAACAGTGTCAGTAACACTGTAAGAAGTGTTAGTAACAGTGTCAGTAACATTGTAAGAAGTTTCAGTAAAACTGTAAGAAGTGTTAGTAACAGTGTCAGTAACACTGTAATAAGTGTTACTGAGCGAGATTAGATTAACATTTAGATATTTCACTACCAGCTGGTCTGTTCAACGAAGTGATATTACGACGAATTTATTTAAGGAATAATAATAAGAACGCATAATATTTAGCTAATAAACGATCACCCAATCACAAAAAAAAGAAAATTGTTTTTACCTCCATATCGTTCATCAATTTACACTTTGTATTTCAGAGGAGATATTCTGCGAGTACTGGGATAAGTTTGACTTCACCTGTTCTTCCTGCACGTGCGATGGCGTGCAGTCCTCTTCCTTCACGTGTCTTACTTACGACAGGCACTGTGGAAAAGAGATGTCCCCTGAAGATAATAAAATATGGTGGGTAGAAATCTTAGTGGTGTTGAGCTAGGGGCTTTGAAAACTGTTGATTATTACTGTTTTGGGATGATAATGATGAGCTATTTTGAGGCTTAAACAGTAGTTAACACTTTAACAGTATAAGTTAGAAATAGTTCTGAAAAAAAGTTTCTTTCCATTTATAATTTTGCGTGATCCAGCATGATTGTTGACCACTTTATCTCCACATGGTAATGTTGACCACTTTGTCTCCACATGATTGTTGACCACTTTGTCTCCACATGATTGTTGACCTCTTTGTCTCCACATGATTGTTGACCTCTTTGTCTCCACATGATTGTTGATCACTCTGTCTCCACATGATTGTTGACCACTTTGTCTCCACATGATTATGTTGACCACTTTGTCTCCACATGATTATGTTGACCACTTTATCTCCACATGATTATGTTGACCACTTTGTCTCCTCATAATTGTTGACCTCTTTGTCTCCACATGATTATGTTGACCACTTTGTCTCCACATGATTATGTTGACCACTTTGTCTCCACATGGTTATGTTGACCACTTTGTTACCACATAATTGTTGACCTCTTTGTCTCCACATGGTTATGTTGACCACTTTGTCTCCACATGATTATGTTGACCACTTTATCTCCACATGGTAATGTTGACCACTTTGTCTCCACATAATTGTTGACCTCTTTGTCTCCACATGATTATGTTGACTACTTTGTCTCCACATGGTTATGTTGACCACTTTCTTTCCACATAATTGTTGACCTCTTTGTCTCCACATGATTATGTTGACCTCTTTGTCTCCACATGATTGTTGATCACTCTGTCTCCACATGATTGTTCACCACTTTGTCTCCACATGATTGTTGACCACTTTGTCTCCACATAATTGTTGACCACTTTGTCTCCACATGGTTATGTTGACCACTTTGTCTCCTCATGATTGTTGATCACTCTGTCTCCACATGATTGTTGACCACTTTGTCTCCACATATGATTGTTGACCACTTTGTCTCCACATGATTGTTGACCACTTCGTCTCCACAGGTTTGCATACACTCAGTCCAACGAGCTGTCCACTGAAACCCCACAAATGGCCGATTTAGAGAACAGAATAGTAGAGGAATATGAGATTATATCTGGAGTTACCTTACCTCCAACTTTAACAGAAACTATAACCATGACAGAAACTATAACCATGACAGAAACTCTTCCTATCACAGGTATTACATTATTCCCTTCAACTTTCATATTCCTGAACTTTATATTTATATTTATATGCTATTGGTTATTTTTATTTAAACAATACTGTTATTCATAATTTATAATTTGCAAATAATTGTCAAGAAGCAGTAAAAAAAGTAACAAAGAAAACTGATGCCACTGAAAAATTAGCTGTCACTGAGAAAACTGACATCACCTTAAACGTAACTGAGCAAGTAGAAGCAGTTTCAGAGAAAATAGTGGTTGTTCCAGAGAAGACAGATAAAACGGTGAAGACGACAGTTACCCCAGGTAATCACAGTGCTGGCAAGCTGCCAGTTACCCCAGGTAATCACAGTGCTGGCAAGCGTGCCAGGTAATTCAAGAATTCAGAATTGTAGCTTTAAAGCTAGTTTAAACTAAAACTGCCCCAGCCCATTTTTAATACTTCTCTTCGGTAACACGACATCTGTCCGACAGCAACATCTGTCAAAATAGTGACAGCACTATTTTCTTGTGTTTGAAGTGATATCTCAAATTTGGCAGATAGAAAATCGCTCAAACTTACACAGATTATTTGTTCCTATAACCACCATACTTTATGAGTTTATGGAAAGTTTCAAGAAAATCGTAGGGTAGGATCCGACATAAACTATTGTCCAAACAACCTATTTTCTGAGTCGGAATCTTCTCTTCTTGTTGTAATAATATTAATGTTTTTAGAAAACCTGGAGAAGCAGTATAAGATAACTTTATACATGGCAGAGAAGAAGTCCACTTGGATAGACGCGTACTATGACTGCCAGTAAGCAATAATCAGCATTTTTAGTTACAAGTAATTTCCAAATATTATATGTGAAGGTGGATATTTAATAATTCTATTCAGAGACTCTGTTCTGAAGCTAACAATGAATCTAACAGTTAGCTCGTGCAATATTTTGTAATATAAGTTGGTTAATGAGTTAATAGATAAGTTCATTACAGATCACTCAACATTAATTCTACATTTTCAGAGGAATGAGCATGACACTTCCAACTGATCTGAACGAGGTGCTGAACACTTACCTGCAAAATTATCTGAGACAGCACCAGATAGAGACCTGGCTCAATGCTGAACAGTCTAATGGTAGGTTAATAGAGACCTGGCTCAATGCTGAACAGTCTAATGGTAGGTTAATAGAGACCTGGCTCAATGCTGAACAGTCTAATGGTAGGTTAATAGAGACCTGGCTCAATGCTGAACAGTCTAATGGTAGGTTAATAGAGACCTGGCTCAATGCTGAACAGTCTAATGGTAGGTTAATAGAGACCTGGCTCAATGCTGAACAGTCTAATGGTAGGTTAATAGAGACCTGGCTCAATGCTGAACAGTCTAATGGTAGGTTAATAGAGACCTGGCTCAATGCTGAACAGTCTAATGGTAGGTTAATACTTTAATAGAGACCTGGCTCAATGCTGAACAGTCTAATGGTAGGTTAATAGAGACCTGGCTCAATGCTGAACAGTCTAATGGTAGGTTAATACTTTAATAGAGACCTGGCTCAATGCTGGACAGTCTAATGGTAGGTTAATAGAGACCTGGCTCAATGCTGAACAGTCTAATGGTAGGTTAATAGAGACCTGGCTCAATGCTGAACAGTCTAATGGTAGGTTAATAGAGACCTGGCTCAATGCTGAACAGTCTAATGGTAGGTTAATACTTTAATAGAGACCTGGCTCAATGCTGGACAGTCTAATGGTAGGTTAATAGAGACCTGGCTCAATGCTGAACAGTCTAATGGTAGGTTAATACTTTAATAGAGACCTGGCTCAATGCTGAACAGTCTAATGGTAGGTTAATAGAGACCTGGCTCAATGCTGGACAGTCTAATGGTAGGTTAATAGAGACCTGGCTCAATGCTGAACAGTCTAATGGTAGGTTAATAGAGACCTGGCTCAATGCTGAACAGTCTAATGGTAGGTTAATACTTTAATAGAGACCTGGCTCAATGCTGAACAGTCTAATGGTAGGTTAATAGAGACCTGGCTCAATGCTGAACAGTCTAATGGTAGGTTAATACTTTAATAGAGACCTGGCTCAATGCTGAACAGTCTAATGGTAGGTTAATAGAGACCTGGCTCAATGCTGAACAGTCTAATGGTAGGTTAATACTTTAATAGAGACCTGGCTCAATGCTGAACAGTCTAATGGTAGGTTAATAGAGACCTGGCTCAATGCTGAACAGTCTAATGGTAGGTTAATACTTTAATAGAGACCTGGCTCAATGCTGAACAGTCTAATGGTAGGTTAATAGAGACCTGGCTCAATGCTGAACAGTCTAATGGTAGGTTAATACTCTAATAGAGACCTGGCTCAATGCTGAACAGTCTAATGGTAGGTTAATACTCTAATAGAGACCTGGCTCAATGCTGAACAGTCTAATGGTAGGTTAATAGAGACCTGGCTCAATGCTGAACAGTCTAATGGTAGGTTAATAGAGACCTGGCTCAATGCTGAACAGTCTAATGGTAGGTTAATAGAGACCTGGCTCAATGCTGAACAGTCTAATGGTAGGTTAATACTTTAATAGAGACCTGGCTCAATGCTGAACAGTCTAATGGTAGGTTAATAGAGACCTGGCTCAATGCTGAACAGTCTAATGGTAGGTTAATACTTTAATAGAGACCTGGCTCAATGCTGAACAGTCTAATGGTAGGTTTAATTCTTTTTTCTTCGCAGGCATGGGATTCAGTCAAGGTTTAATCCAGATTCATTCACTCAGAATAAAGTCTATCAATAAATCATTAAGTCTAATGGCAAGAGTCCTTCATGGTAGCAATCAAGTTTTAGTTTCTTTTTCCCTTGACCAAAAACTGTTATAAAAAGTTAAATGACCACAGCCGCAAAAGGCTGGCCTCAAAAGTTCGAGCTTATAGTGTATAAATACTATTTAAGTAATACTATAAAAGTAATTTCTATCGCAATTTCAAGGTTATTTTAGTGGCCGTAGTGTAGTTCACTACTTTTTTACTCAAGGTTTGAACTCTAGTTTCGTCTTCACAGGGTTTGCATACTGGTTTACTGGTAACCCTATGGACTACTACAACTGGGCTGCTTACAGTGATCCCCAGTACAACTATGGGAGAGCCTACGTGACTCTTAGCTACGATGGTAATATCTTGTTTTCGTTAGAATTGTGTTCTGATATACAAATTGTTCAAATTAGTCAATGATGTAAGTAGTGGCGTAACGTTTTTTCTAGTACCGTAGTTAAATTGTTCCACATTGTCCCCCCCCCCCCCCCCCCCCCCCCCCCAGTGGCGCCCTCTCCCCTTGTTGGCGCCACTCCCTAAAATTGGCGCCCCCTTAAGATGGCGGTGGGGCCCTTCGTTACGCCACTGGATGAAACAGTGGATACCGTCGAGAGACGTTTCTCTTCACGTTTTGTTTCTTCCCAGGCATGTGGTACACAAAGAGCGAGTATGAGACAAGTCAGTACTACTGTATCAAGATGGAGGAAGTGTCTCCTAAGGCTCTCAAGTTAGGTTATAGAGGTATTGTTTGGTCAAGTATGCCAAATTTGTAAGATTACTTTTATCTAAACTAAATTGTACAAGCGTCCAATGTAGCGTATTATACTTACCATTCAAATAATTAATCGACATAACTTTTTTTTTCGCAAACTTTATAAATCAGAATTTAAAATCATCAAGTATACAATAGTATCTGACAGTGACAAAAGCTTTCCCTAAAAATATAATCAAAACAAACAAATTTACAAATAGTTTCTGCCTTTTCAACAACATTGCAACTTAATCCATCAAAAGTCCCAAATTCTATCCGCCCTTTGGGTTGTGAGTTCTGGTATAGTAACTGGTGCTCGAGAACTCACACTTAGAAACATCACAGTAGGACCATCTCTTCCAGAAGTAGGTGGTGAAGCACCAGGGACGATTATCATCACCAGGGGAGGGGTTTCTACAGAATCTGAAAACAATTTTGACATCAAAAATTAATAGTTCTATATACATTACTCGGGAATATTATAGCGGGTTAATTTATGACTGGGAAAATTAATGACCTGGAAAAATATCGCGGACTTTCCCAAACCCCGCCAAATTATCCCGGTCATAATATTCCCGAGTAAGGTAGTTTAAAAGTTTAAACGTTTAAAGAATTTTTCATATTTCTTGACACTTGGAAGATCACGCAGTTTATTCAAGTTACATAGTTGCTGACTACAAAACATGGGGGTAGTAATTAATTGTGTAACTATGGTAACTAATTGTGTAACTATGGGAACTAATTGTGTAACTTTGGTAACTAATTGTGTAACTATAGTAACTAATTGTGTAACTATAGTAACTAATTGTGTAACTATAGTAACTAATTGTGTAACTATAGTAACTAATTGTGTAACTATAGTAACTAATTGTGTAACTATGGTAACTAATTGTGTAACTAAAGTAACTTATTGTGTAACTAAAGTAACTTATTGTGTAACTATGGTAACTAATTGTATAATTATGGTAACTAATTGTGTAACTATGGTAACTAATTGTGTAACTATGGTAACTAATTGTGTAACTATAGTAACTAATTGTGTAACTATGGTAACTAATTGTGTAACTATGGTAACTGATTGTGTAACTATAGTAAAGTAGTAACTAATTGTGTAATTATGTATTAGAAAGTACTTACCTGTGGTGTCCAACACCGTATCGCTTTATATTAGAATCATCATCATAACCATGGGGGTGGGGCCAGTTGCTGTACCAGTCGTTACAGTTGTAGCTGTTACCTGCCGTCTTCGTCCTGAATTAATTTAATATAACAAGCTTAGTTAAGTAGACATTTCTTCAAATTTAAAATAAACATCTCAAAAATATGATTTGTCAAACATGGGCACCTTTAACCAATGACCGCAATATACTTCTTATATTAGATTAGCTGAAAGTTAAGGGGGTGACCCCCCCCCCCCCCCCCCCCCCAATATACTTCTTATATTAGATTAGCTGAAAGTTAAGGGGGTGACCCCCCCCCCCCTTACCTGTCACCCCGGTAAAGCTCCCCTCTCTCCGTATAGCAGTCTACGTTCCATTTACATTTAGGAACTCCACAATAGTCCCACTTCCTGGTTAAAGGTGTTTTATAGGTTAGTTACCATAGTTACACAATTAGTAACCATAGTTATAATGTTCCAACTTACTAGTGAGATCGAATATGTTGTTATTTTATGACAATCGGAGCAAATTTTCAATTAATCAAGTCTAGTAGGAGTAAGGTCCAATTAAGCTGTTCTCTGGGTTAAACTGAACCTGTTTCGGTCAGTAGTGTAACACCAAGGTCCATTAGGGTCGTTATCAGGATTTCTACAGTAATTGTGATTCCCAATGCCCTCTCCTGAGTAAGTGTTGATATCGCTGTGAGGGTAACTAGATCTCCAGTTCTGACAAACCACTCCTTTCTGCGTCTTGGAACGGTAACCTGAAATCAGAGTAAGTGTTGATATTGCTGTGGGGGTAACTAGATCTCCAGTTCTGACAAACCACTCCTTTCTGCGTCTTGGAACGGTAACCTGAAATCAGAGTAAGTGTTGATATTGCTGTGGGGGTAACTAGATCTCCAGTTCTGACAAACCACTCCTTTCTGCGTCTTGGAACGGTAACCTGAAATCAGAGTAAGTGTTGATATTGCTGTGAGGGTAACTAGATCTCCAGTTCTGACAAACCACTCCTTTCTGCGTCTTGGAACGGTAACCTGAAATTAAACGTCCAAATTTCGTAATAACGTGGGATCTAAGACATGATTGTTTGTTGCCCGGACGGTGAAGAAACTGAGAAATGAGTACAAGGAAGATTGTTGGTTCGATCCATAAGTTGTTTCAAGCTTTAATTAAAAGATTCAAATGAAAAAATGTTTAACTGTAGTACCTGTATAATTATACAACGTGATATTATTATCAGTGCATTGTGTACAACACCAACTACACCGATCAATTGCCAAGCTGCGAAACATTTATTTATTATTATCACTTCGAGATGGCAGGGCCTACCCTACCTGTGTAATACAACCCTTTTTCATTGTAGCACATCACGTTAGTAACCACTGGTCTGATAGAGTAGAAAGAGCCCCGTCCTAGCCCACTAATCTTAGGGTACTGCCGACTATCTGTAACATCAGTCCTGGTGGTCCCCTCGTTCAGTCGGATCTTACTCCCCCCGTACCTGGTCCCACTGAAGATATACCAGTCACCTCTGTTAACCTTGAACGAGCTTATCTTGCCTCTCAGGTTGCTCGCTAGCTGAGTCCTCTTGTCGTAGATCACTGATGTGCTGCCGCTGAAGCTCTTTCCTGTAGCAATGGTGATTTCAGGTCCTTCACAGTCTTGAAGATCGGTTGCTTTGTCCGTGTAGGTGATGCTGTTCTCCGGACACTGCACACAGGACACTGAACTCTCTGTATCTTGGTACGTATCGTAGGGACAGCTTGTGCAGGATGTCTGGTTCTGCTTGTTCTGGTAGGTCCCTAACGGACAAGCAACACACGTGACCCGCCCGTTAACGACCACCACCTTACTGCCGATATCACATGACGTGAAGTGACATTCAGAGCTGGAGATGCTGCCTTGACTGTCGGTAGTCATCTTATCCGACACTTGCTGCAGGATAGACCACCATCTGTTTCTCTGTAATAACCTTTAGCACACTTTTGACATATTTTCGCTCCTGTTTGAGGTTGGTAAGTTCCCCTCGACAGGTGTAGCAGAACCTCCTCCCCAGCTCTATCTGGTAGGTTCCAGCATCACACTTCTGACAGGATGTAGCTCCAGTGACATTGTTATAGGTCCCCTCACCACACATCCTGCAGGCTGGTGACCCGACAGTGTTCATGTAAGTACCTGGGTGACAGGATGTGCACTGGAGAGATCCTGTAGAATTACTAAACGTTCCCACTGGACAGGACTGACAGGCAGTAACCCCAGTAGAGTTGGAGAAGGTGCCCATAACACACCCCTCACACATGGTGCCATCAGTGTAGTTGCCCGCACCACACGTGCTACAGGAAGCAGACCCCACTGCACTAGTCCAGGTACCAGCTGAGCAGGGAGTGCACGGAGCTTTAACCTGTAGCGGAGTAATGTCCGGCTACACAATCAGAGAGACACTGTGAGCTGCTAGTACTCCTGCCTATATGTCATACCGTTGGGGGAACAACAATAGAGCACCGGTGCGGCGGTAGGGGTTCAGGGGCACTGATCACAAGACATACGCCCTTTCTGTTAGGAACCTTTTCCCGGTCCACACTGGGGCCTTGATTGTTACTCTGTCCCTCTTTAACCTTTGCAGGTAATTCAATTTTAAAAGTACCGTTCAGTATAGTTTCATTAGCTTCATTACTGTTTTGAAGACTTATTAAATGATTCATCTAATAGGAAACCCACATTTTGATTTTAAATTTGATAGGCACTACGGTGGGCTGAACAATTTATCCCAAGACCTAGAGAGGGAGCAAGTGATGAGATCAGAGCTGCTTACAAACCATGGCATGTTTTGCTGGTAAGAAACTTACTATATACATTAAAACAACCTTATATCTTTCTATCGCTTTTTAATTTTTGTTAATGCAAATATGATTGTTTTTTTTTTTTTGTTGTTTTTTTTTTTTTTTTTTTTATTTGTTTTTTTTTTTTTTTTTTTTTTTTTTTTTTTTTTTTTTTTTTTTTTTTTTTTTTTTTTTTTTTTTTTTTTTTTTTTTTTTTATTATTTTTTTTTTTTTTTTTTTTTTTTTTTTTTTTATTTTATTTTTTTTTTTTTTTTTTTTTTTTTTTTTTTTTTTTCTTTTTTGTTTTTTATTTTTTTTTTTTTTTTTATTTTTTTTTTTTTTCTTTTTTTTTTTTTTTTTTTTTTTTTTTTTTTTTAATTTATTTTTTTTTTTTTTTTTTTTTTTTTTTTTTTTTTTTTGTTTTTTTTTTTTTTTTTTTTTTTTTTTTTTGTTTTATTTTTTTTTTTTTTTTTTTTTTTTTTTTTTTTTGTTTTTTTTTTTTTCTTTTTTTTCTTCAAAGTAATCCAACGTCAAAAGATTCGAACAAAAATAGCGGTGTCCTGTCAAAAAGTTTTTATTTCCAAAGGTAACAAGCCAGGTAACATTAGCTGGCTGCCTACAAGCTGCAAAACCGGTACTGCAAGAGAAAATAGCTTTGCGTGAGTAGTCCATAAAATACATGCTCAACAATCCGATCAAATGAAAGTACCATACTGTACAGAAATATTTCCAGTTTCCATACGATATAAAACTCCTTATTGATGACAACAATTTTCAAATTTGCAGTAACCCAGACAAATTCTCTGCTAACGCCTACACATTCACGTCACTGCTGTGACCATCCTTATGTGGGTGGGCCTTCACAGTGATCTACAACCTTGTTGCGTAGAGAGCGAACTCCAAGGTGGGTAAAACTGCTGTACAGTACTCTATAAAGAGTAGTACCTTTACAAGAGGATCTCTTGACAAGTACTACCCTCCTGGCTGCATGAGACTGTGTTAAACTTCCATAAGACCAGGTGGGACGTACTAAATAGACTGATCAACTGCATGATGATAGACACTTACAAAAATTATTTTGACTGTTCTATGTGCACAACTTGCTTATTCTAAACTTAAAATTTGCATTTGCTAACCTCAATTTATCTTACATTCTCTAATTTCACAATACATATAAAAAAACCTAAATAGAAGCATATTGTGATGTCGCTTAGATATATAATGTAATGGATAACAACCATTTCCTAGCCCAAGGTATAGCTAAAACGACTCAGTCTAAAGTATATGACCTATTGTCCTTACCAGGAAAAAAATTGCCTAAAACATTTTTTAAGCAGCCACAAACTTTTCGTTGGTATAATACTATAAAGCACTTTATGACATATTTATATTGTACTCACATACGATGCAGCACTTACCTAGAAGTAAGGAAAAACCCCGGCCTCTTATAGTTGTATTACCATCACCCGAACTGAACCAAAGAAACAACATGACCATGGTAAGGGTTGACCCATACGTGGATTGGGATGGGAGCCAACAATCGTGTTCTGGATAAACCCTGACCTGATCATATCAACAGCTATCCAACTACCAAGCAAGGAAAGAGCCAGGGGCAAGGAAATCAAAGACATCAGATAATTAAGAAGTCCCCGGCTTATCAGATCAATCTGAAGCCTGAAGGCGGACAGGCCCTGATGCACAGACTCAACTATCTACAGAACCTTGAATGAACTCTTGAAGTTATATAATTATAAACGATTAATTATTGATTTCAAGGAGACGGAGTAGGAGGTTTCATGAGCTGATCTGACACCTAATTTTGCATGATATGATTACAAACTTAATTTGATTAATCTAGCACTAACACTATTATAACGACAAACATTATATCCATTAAGATGAAAACTTATAGACATGAAAAAGTAAGAAAGTAGAAAGTTGAAATCAATGTTTTTGTGCTCATCCCAACAGTGTTTTTTTAAAAATCTAGAGATTTTGCTGCTTTTGGCACAATATTTAACTACTCTTATCATGGGACTTTATTGGACTACCTCGATGCACCACCTACTCGAAAGATACATTGAACATCCAAAAGACAAGTATTAAACACCATTGGAAGTTAGGAGTCTTGACTATAATAACTGTAAGCTGGTGTTGGGAAATAGAGGTGGATGTTTTACCATTTAATAAACTACCATTATTGGGACTGCAGATAAACAGTGACCTTAAACAAGATTTAAATAATTTAATTTAGGCTCCAGAGATCGACGTCCAAACTATTTCTCTAACATGTATGGAAATCGTACTGTAATAGCCTGATTTTTATTATTATTAATAAAATTAATATTTTTACTAATTTTGATTATTTAATCCCAGCATAACTGTGTTTTTAATCTGATTCAGGATTTGACAGTGATTACTTCAAAAGTGTAGTTCGATAGAAGCATACTAAAAGGCGTTACAAAAATACGACCTAAGGTAATTGTATTATAAAGGTCACGTTTTATTATTTATACCGATAGAAATCGGAACCGCAGAAAAGCCAGCCCATTCTTACACAAAGCAATTTAAATGACATAATTTAGATTTTGGGTGCTCGACGTCCATAACTCTCCTCTACATGTATGAAATCGTGCTTTAATACCCTGATTTAAACTAATTATTTGTTAACCATATCTTAACCCTGCCGTTTTATATCTGATTCAGAATTCAAAACCAATCATCATTAATACAAATCTAAATGTCCAATACTACAGATAAATTAATTCTAATTAATGTAAAGCTGTTGTCATTTTATCGATTCTGAATTCCCTTTAAATCTTTAATCAGCCTGATTTATACCTGCAACTACGGACATATTCCGCTCGATAGTTCAGACTTCGGAAGTTTGTCTACATATTGTTTGACTTATTGAAACTTACTATAA